GGGGGGGGGGGGAGGGGGTGAGAGGTGAGGAGTGAACCTGGTACTTGTGCCTGATACTTGTGTGGCTATCAACACCTTGAATCGCGAACCACAGTAGACGCCAAGAGCTCAGTGCACTAACCAGGCCATCGGCTTCTCGGACATCTTCAAGCAGTGCCCAGAGTCGTCGCATGTCCGGGAATCCAATTTCTTCTTTCAACTGCTCTCTCGTGAGATTCAACAACTGATCTCCGTTGAACTTGGACAACGCATCCAGAACACTACAAGGAAATATGCACACACAGAAATGTTGTCATGGATGCGGATAACGACTTGCATTCAGTGCAATGGTCCACAAAGAAAATGATGGGAAACTGGTCTTTGAATTGCAGAGGAATTCTGTAGCAGTTTGAGAAGCAGATTTGCAAGATAATAGTGTGCACAGAGAGCTTGCAGATATGATATTTTCAAATATTATGCAAAAAATGATTTATGATGATATTTGTAAAATGCTATTCATGAAAGCATGAAACTTTGAGTAGCAGCAAACACACCTGGATTGCCCTTGTTGGTCTGTAAAATGCTATTCGTCGACATAGAATCTCTCCAGTAGTTTCTCCTCACCTTTTCCCAAATTTCTTCGAGTCCAGCCATGATTTTACTTCGTCTGCGGTGGACGACTTCTTCAGGGTGGTGACAGCTGTGGCAATCACAGGTACAACCAGGAAAATTTGGGGCATAATCATCATAAAGTCCTTAACGGCGAGAGCGCATATAATTGCTTTTCTTCACATACCGTCTGTCCACACCTTTAAAGCCATGGCGTTATATTCGATTATTAAGCCAGTCTCAGTTATAAAGCCATGGGCCTCATAAAATTTTAATGAAATGACATTTGAAGTATATTTTGCAAAAATGAAGGAATAAAAAACTTACAGCTGGAAGGGTGACCAAGTAGATTTTGATTGAAATTTATGTGTGGACTTTGACTTTTATGGCATGGCGTAGTGGGCGAGTCATTTTGCGTCTATAATATCTAGGAAAGCGTGTTTCAAAATAATATAAGGCCATGGCTTTAAAGGTATTAAATACATACGGTATTAAATCTAGTCTTTACTCACCTTAAAATATTGCCATGTGCTGTATAGCTAGTTGGTTGTCGGAAGACATTATCCGAACAATCACCAACAAAACCATTGGATTTTCAGAAGTACCGGTACTCATGTTATATTCAAATTACCAGTGGCTTCACCGGTATGTTTTTCACATCTATGACTTGTAATGGCATCGGCTTACTCCAGTCTTACACAACTATAGACCCTGCATAACTGCATCTTTACTAAGGGGTTTCGCAAAAGTTTTTTGTGTCCCTGAAACGAACATGATTCATTTGGGGGGGGGGGGAGGGGTGCGAGCCAAAATCGCAAGTCGACCGACACTGTACATATGCGATTTTCGTCGTTCAACATAGCAAGCTGTGTTCAATTCAGAGGGAGGGGAGGGGGTCCAAGTACGAAATGAACGATGTTCGTTTCAGGGACGACAGAAAACTTTTGCGACGATCCCTAATACAACATAAAGCTCAGATTTTTGATCAACCTCTTGTTAACCCACACAGTATTTACCGTTTCCGTAAGTTGATCCAAGCAGACAGCATTTGGGTTAATAAAACATACAAAAGGCCACAGGTGGCAAGACAGAAAGCATGTTCACTATCACCTACCAGCTGTGCCACCAGGCGCAACAGCATCCACGGAATCAGTGCGAGTTCGGCGTCGCAGGTGTGCGTTCTGCACTTGCTTGGCCAACTCGTTCTCAAATCCAGCTTTCGGATCTGAAAGCAGACAACCGTGAACAACTTCTCAGTATAGAACGGCAGCTGTCCAAATTGAACTCATGCTTCTCGCACCTCATCTTTGTCCTGCAACCTAATCACATGCCCTAAAAATATGGCAGCACAAGTATAGTTATCTGAGGAAAAAGGCCTTCTGATTTCAAGCTACTATCTAATAAAACGCATTACCCTGATAAAATTTTCCCTTTGGCTTTACGAGAGGATTTAAATGTACAATGAGTGGCCACTGTCGAGTATACACAATGCACAAGCGCACAACACCTGTAAGAAAATATAGCTGAATTGTCACAATGATGGGGCTTCCTATGCCAGCCAAGCTGTCCACATCAACTATAGGACACGTTCAGGTATCCCTGAAGATGCCGAACATGACAGCGAGTGACATGCGATGCAAGGCAGGAAACTAAGCATTGACTAGGTACTATTTTCAGGTTCGCTAAGCACCACTTCGACCAGGCATGTACTGGAGCCACAGCATGGAAAGTGTACGTTATAGTGCAAATGCATAAGAGCTTCCTGCAAATGTACAAGTCCCTGAAAAATGATATTCGGTGTATTGGTGCGATGCAATTGATCAATCTAAATTTATCTTTGTACAGGTACTCGAGTCCAGATAACTACATACTAATATTTATTTTACGTGTGTGACAACGGTTCGAACCCCAAAAAGACAGAAATAGAACGATACTCTCCAATTGTGATATCTTACTTTTCGGTAAGTCGGCAACGCTGCGCAGCTTCCGCCCTTGCTTGAGCTGACTGAGCACCCCCGCCATACCGCCTTCTTCTTCTCCCTTGCGCTTATCATCCTCTCCTTCGCCAGCCTTCTTCAAGTTCATTGCTTTAATTGCATCGAGCAAACCGCCGCCGCTCTTAGACTTAGCCGCTGAGAGCATGGGTGGAGGTGGTGGAGGAGGTGGGCCACCCATTCCTGGCGGAGGAGGGGGTGCTGGAGGACCAAATCCAGGCGGGAGTGGCGGTGGAGGGGGACCAGCTCCGGGAGGCGGCGGTGGAGGAGGTGGTGGCGGGCCACCCATACCGGGCGGCAGCGGAGGAGCTGGCGGGCCAGCCACGCCCGGGGGTAGCGGTGGTGGCGGTGGTGGTGGAGGCCCAGCCGATTGTCCTGGTAGGGGAGGTGGCGGCGGTGCACCTGTCACGTGCAGAATTGGAAACACACGAATAGCAGGTATGCTTTATCAGCACAAAGTAACGAGGTATCTATACTGGAAACAGGACCACCTTTATGGAAGCAAATCATTGATTGATTCATATGAATACTGCTGCACGGGTTTGTTAGCAGAATCTGGCAGTGCAAACTACCCAAGACTTGGTGATCGTCCTTGACAGAGATCCATTTTCTTGCAGAGGTCACTTTGGGAACAGGTCTAAGTAGGCAAGTCTATATGAATGTATGACAAGATGTTATTGACATGAATCATTTAGCAGAACAATGTGTGAACACTCGAAACTGCCCTAGCTAAGCTGCCGAAATACTGCATCCAATACCCTTTGCTTTAGCAGACCCAGTATCAGTAACTCTTTAGGACCAATCATTTGCATTCAGGGTGAGTGAAAGTCCGGACAAGAAAACCCCGGCTAGGTTGAATGAACTCCAGGCCTCCCTTGGTGCTTGTCAGAGGCTTCACTGAAAGTAGAGTGTTGGAGTACCGTATTTCCCCGAATATAAGTCGCACCTTTTTACACTAAACGTCAAGGACAAAGAAGCCTAGGGGATGCGACTTACAATCGAGACTGACATCCTACTTATATGTATGTTTAGGGTACCCTGTAAGAAGGCCCTAGGCCTGTGGGAATGCCCTATTAAAAATTTAATAAATAATAATAATAATAATAATGTATTGAAGCAATGTGGTTCAAACCTGAGAGTGAGGGTGCAACCTACAATCGAGTGTGCCTTACAATCGGGGAAATACGGTAAGTAATAGGGCAATATTGTACCTGATCCCGGTGGCGCAGGTGGTGGTGGCGGTGCTCCCGGAACCCCTGGTGCAGGAGCCATGGGGATTGTCTGCTGTACGACCAGCTTGCCATCAGGACCCATCTCCAGCTGGACAGAGGGACCAGCTCCCACGCTTGCACCCGGCTGCTGGAGACTTGATACCGGAACTAGAATGAACGGCGAGTCGCTGTCCATGAGCTGTTGGAATGAAGCAAAAGCAAATCAATCGGTACAAATGGCTTCTGTTGAAAGCAGCTGGGACACAGAATCAGCTAAACTTTGAAAACATCATGTGGTTTCCTTTCAACACCTTCAACTAGCAAGTACTAGTATGGTATGGTATGTTTTGTGCAATTTTCACAATATAGATATTTACATATTTACACAATACTCGATCTCCAGGTACCATTGACACGTTTCGTTGTAATGAGACAACGTGGACAGCGCTTTGTCAAGATTTACATTTAGACAGTAAAGGATTCAGTTTGAGGGATCTTCCTGTGTTCAAACTACACTCACATCTCTCTCGTCCGGACCTCCAAGTTCCGGGCAGCCTGTGAGTGAGTTTTAGTGGAAATATCGACTACGCTTTTTCCAAGAAGAAGATTATCTCATAAATCAATCCTTGGGTCTCCACCCGAGTCTCATTGCTCTTTTCCATTATCTGTTGAAATAGTGACGTCATATCCCAGATCTATCGCACTTTCCCATCAAAGGTCTGTGATTCAGAGTTACAGGCACTCCAAGTTACGGCCAGTGTCCAGCCCCAGACTACCCGCATAAGAGACTGATAATTATAGGCTAGTGCATGGCAGGGAGGGCCGTATGGCTTGTTAGTGCTCGACAGGTTAGCCCTCAGGCTAACTTGTCGAGCACTAACCTTGAAGCCATAAGGCCCTCCCTGCCATGCACTAACTATTTTTAGAACGGTGTTACATGCATTATCTCACTTGCATCATGCTTGTGTAATGTGTACCCTTATCTTGGGTAGCTTTGGGGTTTGGTGTGCAGAGAGAATTGAGAGTATTTTCTTCTGGTAACTCAGCACCAGTGAGGACTACTAAAAGTAGAATACAATGTAGGCTAAGTGTAGAATCCATAAATACAAATACAAAATTAACGTAATTGTGTGTTAAAGTACGTACTCAGCTCCCTGGAGCCCACAAATAACGCAACAAGTGAGTTCTCAGATCTCTCCCTGTTATCAGATCGCCCCTAGGCCCTGTGGAGCGCCATTCTCCAGTGGTGATGACGAACAGAAGCGAGGCTTTAGCGCAGTGACCATGACTCATGATGAGCTAGAGAACCAGCCCCATCGGCATCGTGATGAGAGAAGTGAAGAATTCCATACTCACAAAGCATGACGACAGGGGAGTGGTTTGGACCAGTACGTGTTGCGCTGCTATCAGCATCTAAGACGGCTGGTGCCCCAGTGTAGATCTACTCAGAGCCCACCACTTGTACGATTGCCAGCCCTGTGTCTAGCCCTGCCAAAGAACAGAACCAATCCTATGCTCCTACCCTAGGTTACGTGGCTAGAACTGTAGTAGAAGTAGCTAGTTCTGTACAAGAAGAGGACAGACAACGAACACTGCATCAATAATGCAGTTGCACAGTTGTAAGTCATTTTCCAATTTTCTCTCAAGCCGCCGTTGCCGCTGAGAACAGGTAGGATGAACAGTATGGAGTTCTATCGCGCCTCCTGCGTAACGCTACACGTAATAGCGCTGATTGCTGTGGCGATTGTATCGTGTAACACAGCTTTTGGCTGCCAGGACGATACAGTGTGCATACATGGAGAAGTGTATAGGGGACAACAGAAGGCAGACGGTGCTTCTTGTGGACCATACAGATTCAGCTCCGACACAATCCCGGAGCCGAAGGTGGTTATCTCGCGTCGATGCAGCAGGGTCATGAACGGGCCGCAAGATCCGCAGCCTGCTTGCGAAAAGAAGCTGAAGGGGTCCAGGACAAAGCAGATGTGCGCATGCATGTACATGCGCTGAAGCTAGAATGCAAACCTATGGTTTCCTACCAGGCGAGTACAGCACTAGCAACGGAGGCTTCCAAAGCTGCAAGGTCATGAAAGCGTTGGCCCGAAGTGCAAGCGGGTATTGACAATGGACCTCTCTGACGTTTGTCTGAGTCCAAATGTCGGATTAACTACGTTGTGTTCCACTCGAAGTAGTCTCCATAAAGCAGCCATCACATCGCCATATCTTCTCCTACAGGAGCAAACGCAGTCGCAAGGACATTCGCTTCCATGATATTATATCCTTGCCTTTCTTGCTCGGTTGTTCTGTATAATATCCTTGTACTAATATTGTCTATTTACAGACACTTTGTGTACCACATGTATATGTACATGTATATGACCAAGAGTGCATGAAAACCAGAGTGTGCAGCTCGGATGGGTTGCTGACACGGCGGAATTCCATGATTGCATCATTTTAATGATGATGTAGTGCGTATAAGCTGGATTCAAGCAGGTCTCTTTCTGCGCAACTGCAGCTCAGTTGTACGCACTACGCCATTTCCCGCCTCAGATCTGCGCCAAACATGATGTAATCACAGAATTCCGCCGTGAAAGACACCCATAGTAGAAATGGCCCAAAGCTGCACACTCTGCTTTTCATGTACTCTTTGAAATGACAGATTGTATTCGTAATACTTTGATTTCCGCCGCTGGTCGTTTCCTAGACAACGTGCCAGACCTCGTTCTAAATACAAAGAGATTCTCACCTTCGGATTGGACTTGAACATGTCGCGCAGGTCGCGCTGTGTTTTGGTTTTCTTCATCGCCTTCTGCGGGTTGATGCTGTGCAGCATGGACTTCTTTCCGCCGGGTTTGGGAACGTCTGGTGCAGCAAACGGTGGCGGAGCTGGCACAACAATGCCTCCCTCGAGCGTAACGGTCTCTTCTTGCGGCTCAAGGAACACGCCTGGAGCACAATTTGAAAGCAATCAAGAAAGAAGCAGGATATCCGTTTCAGCATATCTCCTTTCACAATTGCTGTGTCCTGCTCAAGGCAGACCAACCTTTCCAAAGACGAGAATGAATAGATCGTTGAAACGCAATGGCTTTTAAGGGAAGCTGGCTGCAAAGGCGGCTTGAAAGGTGACATGTGAATGTGCTAACGCTATGCGCAAGGCGCGAGAGGTCCAGCAGCGCAGCGTGCAACAGTGCATGGAAGCAGGTGCGAACAGTAGCAGCCTAAGTGCCAAGACCCATGCAGGGAAAGGTGCTATAATAGCACCACATGCCCCCTCGGCTTGAGTGCGACTTTTGAGCAGTAACGCAAAAAAAAAGAATCCTGAAATTGAAATACGAAAATCACAGCAAGCAACAAGGAAAAAGCAGGAGAACAATGCCCAGCAAACCTATGCACGCGGCCGGAGGAACCATCTCTCCCGCCATAAGCTGGACCCTGTTACCGTCTGCACCGTGTAGCTTCGTCCTCTACTCATGCATCTTGTGACCGTTCCTTCCATATCCCAGCGTTTTGAAGACTGGCATCCATACCTTATCGCCTACGTGCAGAGGGGCAGAGGTTTGCCAAGCCGGGATGAGACCTGCTGGGGAGGACTGCAGCTGTGGGCAGCGTACCGCTGCAGATTTGCAGGGAGTGTGGGAACCTTGCATTGGCCCTTGGGGTGAGTCTCCCCACAGAACCTGCACGTGGTTACATCCGACTTCAGCGTCTTTGCCTGCGCCTGCTGCCGCTTGTAAGTAGACTTCGTTGCCGCCACCAACGCCCGGCCGGGCAGCTGCTCACTGAGGCCAGATATGTATCGGTAGAGGATTCATATGCAGAGCAAATATGCATGACCTGATCGAGTGATAACTCACTGGCATACTCTTCCTCGAGCACCCGTCGTTGCATCGCTCGATCCCTTAGGTCACAGACGAGCCCGTCGCGGAGCCAGGTTTCCCGAAGTTGGGCTTCATGGCCGCACAGTGACCAGCATCTGCCGCACTGCAGACTATCTGGGTAGCTGCATGCGTCATGCAGCTAGACAGACCCGAAAAGTACTGGCTGATACTCTCACCTTGTCTCTCAGACCCGAAAAGTACTGGCTGATACTCTCACCTTGTCTCTGGCTCCGGCCATGGAAGGCCTGGCGGTCGAGTAACGGGTTTCTTCGCTTTCTCAGGAAAGCGTCCAGCTTCTGGACGGCAACCTGCTCATCATCGCCGTCTGCTATGGGAACTACGCCTGCCTGCCACCGCCGCACCCAACCGTCGTTCAGAGCTGTATGGAGAACTGCCTGCTGCGTAACTGCACCTGCGTTTCTAGCCCAGTCAACGACACGTAGTCGGACCATTTGACTTTCCACTTGAGGAAAACGGCTAGGTCTATGGCATCCGGACTGGGCAGGTGAGGTATTTCCGCTCTCCGGGCCCACGGCCCTGCCTCTGGCTGTCTTGAGGTGGATGGTGGCGGGCCGCTGGGTGGGCCTGCGGCGGGCTAGCTTGACTGCGCCATTGTGAGCCTAAGCAGAATCTGCTGCTGCTGGCTGAGGGATTGGACGATAGACTGCAGCAGGCTTCCTTCTTCTTGGGGCCCTGGCTGCATCCGCTCTGTCAACCCATCACTGGTTGCTGCTACTTCCTCGGCCTTGGCCTTGACAGAGGTTCGTGTCTCTCGCTGCACCATGTTGTGTCCTGCTCAAGGCAGACCAAGTCTTCGAAAGATGAGAATGAATAGATCGGTGAAACGCAATGGCTTTAAAGGGAAGCTGGCTGCAAAGGCGACTTGAAAGGTGACATGTGAATGTGCTAACGTTATGCGCAATGCGCGAGAGGTGAGCAGTGCAGCGTGCAACAGTGCATGGAAGCAGGTGCGAACAGTAGCAGCCTAAGTGCCAAGACCCATGCAGGGAAAGGTGCTAAAATAGCACCAAAACAATGGAAGCTGGAATCTGAAACACTGGGGGGGGGGGCTAGGTGAATACAAATTAAATCACGCTTACCATCTTCACCGAACATTACCGATGGGGGACGATCTGAAAAAAGGCACACAATTGGACAAAGAGGAAGAACAAATTGGCACAGGTTACGTGGAGCAAACCCCACCAATCCAACTAAATACTGAAAAGTCAGATAGTACAACGAGTACCGTATTTTTTTCATTAGACATACCCGTCTCCAATACTAGTATGTCTCCAATTGTAGTACACGTTAAGTGTGGATCACAAATATAAAAGGACACGCCCCTGATAAAAGTACATGCTGGAATGATGTGATGGGCATTACTGGGATACAGGTGACCAGAGTCCACCTTACTTCGCTTTTTCTTACCCGTTTATCATCTTTGTGTCGCTGTACACTGATTCTTACCATGGTTGGATGTATTTACAGCCTTACAGCATCATTATCACGAGTTGGTTGCCACCCAACCCAGGCAATCAATCTTTCCAGAAACAATAAAAGTACACCGGTCTCCAATACTAGAACAGTCTCATATAGCAGTGCAGGTACGACCACCTTTGAAAAAATAAAAGGACTGTACATTTATTTCGGACATGGTAGCTACGTAGGTAGTCAAATCATTATAGACATTAGTTCCTCTTTTCTTTTGTTCTCATTTAGGGTCACTCATTTCATCTGTGTTCTCTCTCTGCTCCTACCATCATTCGAATTTTCTATTTGCTTTACGACGTTACAAAACACTACCTGCGGAACAATAGTGGGACAAGAAACATACTGTATCCACTTTTAAGTAGCTTTTAGCATGTGCAACACTTTCAAAGGCATGTCACATAGAAGTGAACTCACTGGGTGGTGGCACGGATGGTAGTGGAGGTGGACGTTTTGTAGGCTGCGTTATCTCCTCAAGGAAAGTCGATGGAACGAAGCCCTTTTCTCCGAGCATATTCTCCACTTCCCACCAGTTGCCGCGGCCATCAATCAGCTACAGTAGCAAAACACAAAACGAAGGCATCCCTGATCAGAAGTCAAATGGCACGGTGGATTTAGCGGAATGCTGTCACATGACCTGCCGCTCGCTAGACATGTAACTTGTCAGTCCAAACACACACCAATCATTTCATGTGACCTGTGGTGTCGTCAGGAAATACGCCGTCCATACACTAGACCTAGAGGCATGATGCAGAATCAACACAAGCCACTATCTAAATGATAGTAGCGGAGGGGGAAGGGGAGGGGAGGGGGAGGGGGAGGGTCATGTCAAGGAACATTACTTCTTCTAGCATCTTTTAAAAGAACTCGTTGTTTGTGACAGTTTCCTTCCAGTTTTAGTTTGAGTATAATGTTTACACATACTGGAGTGGATTAAGGTGTCTTCTTGGATTTCTGCAGAATCAATTCTCGTACCTTCAACTTCTCCCCCGTTTGAATGGAGAGCTCTTGTCCGTTCTGAGCTTCGTATTCGTACACGGCCTCCATGAAGAGTCGCTCCGGGAACTTGGTCGGCTGCTTGTCCTCATCATCTTCCTCCTCCTCGTCATCGCTAGAATTGTGAAGGGAAGGCGTGCAGACAAGCATTCACACATTAAACAAACAGGGTTATTCTGTGACTGAAATTACTGTACAGCAGGAAATTTTCGGACGGAATCTATTTTCGTACGATTTCGTACACGGCCTCTTTTGTACTAAAATTAATTCCGTACTAAAATTTGTTCCTGTACACTATGCATGCGTACCGCATGCGAACACGTGCATTTAGCATGCAGCACTGTACGAAAATATTTCCGTCCGAAAATCTCCTTCCATACAGTAGTTGATACAATGAACACCACGGTCCCAGTGATACTCAATTTCACGTCGTTTAGAGCCCATTCACGCAAAGCCTTCACATTGAAACGTGTCTCTGAAGTTTGAACGTGGCAGCGTATATGCGTACCATCGCTGAAGGGTCATGTTGGAGAACAGGGCATTGAAAGAACCAGAGCAACGTACCCGGCCAGCAGATCCAGTGGTACCATTTCCCCGTCTTTGAAGATCATGACCTGCTGAAGCTGAGGGCTGGGCAGGATGGCGAACTGCACGCCGTTCTTGTCCGTCACCACCTGTGCTGGCTTCTTCAGCACTACAGAGCCATGGCTGTTGCCACTGGCTACGCTGTGAACGGACTCGCGTCGCTCCAGCTTCGCTTTCTGCACATCCAACGCACAATGGGGGAAGGATACAAGTGTCAAAACACACCCAGAAAAAGGCTGGTGCAAACCAGTATCATGAACAACTGTGCTGCTAAAGGTGTAATAGCAGCTAGTATCAGTACCATTATCCAGAGTTTTGCAAGTCAAAACTCCAGTGCCTTCGTACATACCTTTGCGTCGTCCGCTTTCTTGACAGCCAGCTCTGCCTTTGCCGCTCTGTCAGCCATGATCTGTTTCTCCTTCTTGGTGGCCATCTCCCGGCGCAGGCGCAGCTGCTCGTCATACGTGACGTCCGGGCCATACCCATGCACAGTCTGGTGACGCTTTCGTGTGAGAGCATTCGCGACCGCCGGTGGAATGTCCACGTTGCTTTCCGCCACTGTGAAACATGCAACAACAGTATAAATATAGTATAGCACTGGCAGCCAATTTACTGCACTTGAAACAGGGTTGTAGGGCCAGATCTCTATAGTGCTGAGCTTCGAGCGCATGACACTTAGATAGAGATCAGCGAAGTATTAAGAACCTCCACGGCATAAATAAAGGTGACATTCGGTAGCCACAAAGGTTGCCCAATCCCTCAAATATGTAAAGTGAAAGGAGACATGTATGTGGGTGTCGCATAACCGTTCTCGCTAATTTATTCTTTTGCAAAAGTCAGGCTCCATCTTCTATCACTGAGCGGTAAACCCAACCTAGCTACCAGCACCGAGCAGCAAACTCAACTTACCGTCACCGAGTAGTGAACTTGAAAAGCTTGCTGCACTGAAGTTCTGGTCCATCTCATCACGGAGCGCCACCATACGTGACTGCTGTGAGTTTTGTTCAGGAGCTGGCTGCGATGGTGGCAGCTGTTGTTTCAACTGCTCAACGTTGCTGTTGCAAAGGTCGGGCGGCGTGCAGCCGTCCGCAAATCGTGGTGTGTACTCGGGTATCAGCTGGTTCTTGGGCCATTTCTCCCTGGAAGGACAGACACAGCCGTTTATGACAGTATGAGTGTGCATGCTGGAGAAATTCTATATCCTTACGGGACCGCCGGAAGCAGTTTTTGATTGGTCTGGTAGTATCATGGCCGTTCATACAGTTTGTGTGTGGTATGGCGGGTACGCAGTCATGCCCTCCATAGCAGGAAACACGTGTCGGTGGCCGAGAAGTTGTAATAACCTTACCGACCGGACCGGTTCCGGCGGGCTTGCCTTACTATATCTGTGACTGATGACCATGCGTTTTAATGGGCAGGTGAACACACAGTGCTATATCAGCTTATTTGCTCATAAGGCCACGCTTTGTTTTTTCTATGTTTCTCGTCGGCCAATTTTAACAAAAGGTACGCGGGCGGGCGGAAAAAAACAAAAGCCAAGGAAAAAACAAGAACAGTTTCTACTGAAAACTGTATACATTTTTCAATGTACATGTATATGCGTGATTCATACAAGACACTGCGTATACCATGTATACAGTACTACATTGTACAATCATGTACATGTAGTCCCATACATGATTGCACTACATTATCACATCAGCCCACGAATATCAGGCAAACTGCAACAATGAGAGCATAAAGTTTGATTACGAGATGGCGAAGAGAACATACATTTATCTGCTATCGCATCAACAAACGTTTCCCACTCGTCATTAATGTTTGGTTTTGTTACTTCAACGTTCTTGTGTCCGCTTATATTTATCAAACTCTTGTCTCCATGCTGCTCATATTTTCTGCCTACGACATCGTTCCACAGACGCCAATTGCAACGGAACTCGTCCGACTTACGGTATTCCTTGGACCCACGAGGCTCAGGCAGTGAACGACTGAAAGCTTCATCATGACAGCCTTCATCGCAGAGAACGGACGAGAAGCGCTCCTTTGCTGCTGTGTTGCAAACGTTTACGATTATTGATTGACGCATCTAGCTGCTGCAGCATGTGCAGCGTACATACATGTACGTAGTATGAACTTTTTTTTTCTTCCGAAATTTCTCAAAACCTACGCGGGCGATGACGAGAAACATAGAAAAAACAAAGTGTGGCCTAACAGTAATGGCAGTGAGCAACAAACAACACCTGCAACAGTAACGGGTTACACGCAAGTGGAATCGGTCACATCGCTCACAATGTTATGCTCCAGTTGATTCCCAGTCTATGCCACATTGCCTCGTGCTCAAACTTGAGAGAGTGGATGAGCAGCTCCGTAGCTTTCTTAGTGAGCAGTGGCTCCTTGACAGTTGCAGCATAGTCAGTCCTGGTAATGAAAATGGATAGGAAGTGCGTGAAACAAACACATTAAATGTACCGGTGTGTGAAGCAAGAACAGCATACCAAAACAGGACTTCGTGAAAATGATTTGCTGAACACACACATCTAATTTGTCCACACTTGGATGCTTATTGCAGCGTGTTACCCTACAGATTGGGGTTAGACGATTCGCATGCACATGAAATCCAACCACACGAGCAAAACCACTCTGTGGTTCTGCAGCCCTAGTATAACGAACACTGGGCTGTGAAGAAAAGCGGTTTTGCTTCATCAGGAAGGTTTTCATAACTGTGCATGGGGAGGAGGTCTATGGCACGTATCTGTCAGACAGGCGTGGGGTTGGCGTATCTGCCCACAATGACAAGTTGAGTCAATCTCACTTCTGCAAGCCGGATAGCTAACTTAACGCAGCATTCGCCTTGCCCAATGCCATTCCTATTACGTGTCGATTGTCCATGAACAATGCCTTTGTTGCAAGATATCACTTTAATGCATCCATTATCATTCCTGTGACATGCCCCTTGACCATGCCCAATGCCATTGCTGTAATGTGTCACGTACGTTCCATGAATCTTGATAACCTCCACCAGCAGGTTGAAGATGCCTTCGATCATTTCCTTCGGCGTCGTCTCTTGGATGTCTTTGCCTAGCTTTGCCTGGGAGCAATGAGAAGGAAATAGGGAACATGCAGGAGCATGTGTTGCACGTGGGCATGCAGCAGAACACATGCGAAAAGAATACGGAACTGTGGAGCCGGATCTACCTCACTGCTTTCACCGGTGAAGCTTCATCGGCCAACTAGTCTCACTGCAGCTGTTACATGTGAGCACGTGTCACTTGTGACACACACCAAGCACATTGATGTCCGCACACCATAGCCGTCTTCCTACAGCCTGGCATATGCCAAGATCATTCCCATACCCTTCTCCTGCATGTTCCAGCTAGTTTAAAGGAGCCCATAATCAAGCATGGAACGTGCCTGATGTTAGCAAAAGACAAATCCAGGATCTGCAGAATCTGTCAAAACAATACGGCGAAAAGCAAATTCTGAAGTTGCAGTGGGCTTACCGTGAGATTGATTGCCAACTTCAGTTTCTGATACGAGTCGATGTAGTCTTCGTGGGGCATGTATGGCTTATCGCTGTCTTCCTCATCTGAAGAACTGTCATCTGCCAACCATATGAACATTTCATTCAGTCATGTAATGTAATGTTACTTTTAAAAGCCACAATTTAGAAGGATACATTAGAAAAAATGGCATGCACTCAAAAAACGGTCTTATTCGGACTCCTCACATTCGGACATGTCCCTTTAGCGGACACTTTCAGCATGAGTTGCAAAAGCAAAAGTTCTTCGATTTCGGGTGTGTTCAATCAGAATCAAGTCCATGCCATCGTCACTAATGAACCCAGCACCAAAGGCTCAAGTTTCAAGCCTCTATCAATATCATAATTGAACTGAGCTGAGCAGAGCATGAAAGAAACTCACTTCTCCCTCTTTTCTTCTTCTTTTTCTTGACCTTCTTCTTCAGTTGGGACTTGGCTCGTCGAGCATTGATGGCTGCACGTAGCTTATCCATGAACATGTTCAGGTCATACAGTGTATGGTTAAGCAGGTCCTGGAACACAACATGAGAAGAAGCAGAAATCTCATGTCAAATATTTGACCAAAAAGACCACAGGAATTAACTTTCAAGAAATTGCTGGACTTGAAAGTTAGAGCTCAAACAGCCTGGTGGTAGCGTGGTGTAGTTATTGGACTTTCACCTCATGAGGTGTTCAAAGTTATTCGTTGCCTGTGAGCATAATTGATGTCTTAGCCTAATTTTGTTAGATATTATCATCCACATTAAATTAATCTCCCCCCCCCCCCACCCATGAAACTTCTAAGTTTGAAGGCTATTTCGGTCTCGCATCGGAGATGTGTTGGAACCAGGTGTTGGGTCATGGAGTATCTCGGTGCAGTCCTCTGTCAATTCGTTACCAAGTTGTCCCACTTTGTGATCATACTATTATCTAGTTAGAGTGGTGTGCAGTTGCTCAAGACTTGTTTCCATGTGTCCCGTTTTATTCTCTACATCCACCTCTATGCACAATGTTGTAGCTCCTCATGCAGTAAGTGCTATTATAACTTAGTACAATTGAACCCTTTCAACGAGCACCCTGTAAGCATTTGCACAAATCCTGATCAACTGACGAAGGTGGCTGCAGTTCCTTCCTGACACTTGTGTCACTCACAACTGTCGTCTGAATCACACGAGAAGCATTCCTAAACTTCAAGCGTAAGTTCTGATATTCGAAACAACCACCTTCTTTAAATATCAGAACTAGAATTGCAGCAATGGTAACAACAAATTAAGCATCCTAGTTTCCATTCCATTCCACGCCTATACATACCGTATCCCTCTGCAGTCTAAGATCCTTTATCGTGCCACGGATGTCGTCCATATCCGAGTGATAGGACGTGAGGCCGGACGGCGTCATGTAGTCGGCTGAGAGACCTGCCTTGCGATTGCCCTGCGGAGTACTGGAACCTGCGCCCTTGCGTATAACGGCTGGTGACGGCTGGACAGCTCTGCGCAGGGTGGACGGCGTCACTGCCTGCTTCTCCTTTTCGCTGAAGATTGCTGCTCTTTCCTTGACATTCACCTGATGGAAAGCAGCGAGAGCGAGGGTGACACAAAAAGAGTGTTCAAGTGTTCTGGGATGGATCACAGCGAAGGAATCCATTTCTGGATATCAAAGGTTACACTCAGAAAGCGCAGTCTTGGAACTGACTGTGGAAGGTACATTAATGAAATGATAAGCAAGCGGGTATGTCAAGTGAACTTTAGCATTGCTTCCTTCATTATTCGGGAGATCTTCCCAACGGGGGAATTATTCCCAAGGAGTAATCATATGCTGAGCTTTACCGAAAAGACTCGGATGGAGCGCCTAGGATTTATAGGAAGAAGAAAATACCAATGAACCACAAGTTACTCTATTATGGCCCCAAAAGCTTTACTTCAACCTTACCATCTTTTCCCCTGGTTTCTTATCGCCTTCCTTGTCCGCCGCCTCCACAACAACGGTCGGAACGGCAAGCTTTGGATCTGGTAACAGCGGCTCTGCTTCTTCCTTGATCGGCGAATGTGAATCAGACCTACAGAACAATGCCAAACGGTAGCGTCAAAACAAACGATGAAAAATTGTGAGTCCAGCAAGCCACACTTCGGCGACCCTATTGTTCCGCATGACTGATGATAGCCTCATACCCCTACGTTGCACTGATATCGACAAGAATTTCGATATATGCGGTTATTGAAAGAATTGCAAACTGGCTGCAGGGTCAACTACATGTTTGAGAAAATACGGAATGTGGTTAACTGAATGGAATGAATTTCTTAGCTATGATGGGAGGATGAGCACTGTGTTATATGAGTACTTCGGTACATGTCTGACATAGCAGATCTGAGCTGGTGAATGCCAAGAACTGTTCCCTCTAGGAGCCTAGGCTGGAGTCACATTCCAATATTGGCGTACCAGCTACAGTAACTGTTGTAGTGGTTCATGTCGTGTAGGTGATGTGCATGTGTTGCTGTTGTGTGGAAAGTCTTTGTCTCGTGCAGTTCATTATGTCCAATTGTGTTTCCGGTGTCTCCCTCTGTAAAACATAGTAGCTTCCCAATGCGGTCAGTCCTCTCGCCAATTCGTTGAGTGTAAACATGGCACGGGGCAGGGAGTAAGAACAAAAAGCCACAATACTATCATCCAACCATGCCAACGTACTTGTCTTTCTGCTTCGATCGACCGCTGAACAGGCTGACGGTGCTCTGTGCATTGTAAAGCAAGACGGCATCATCAGAGAACACAGCCATGGCTAGAGCACTATTAGCACTTAAGTCGCGGGAAACTTCAAGAGTGTACGAGTACTTGACACATAAAACAGATCAGACACCCTTCTACCTACCCATAACACCCACTCGCATGGTGCCTTTGCTGCAAAAGGCTCTCGTAGTACTGAATCACCAAGCATTGGCCCATACTCAGGGTAAAGCAATACGGATGAGGATAGGCTGTGCCGGAAAATGTGGAGCTTCAGTATTGGGAGATTCTTGGCAACAAAGAGACCATACTTGAGTGAATGTTTGGAGTAGGTTATGTGTGGATGGCTTCAATTGGAGTTTGAGAATCTTTTTTTTTTAAGGCACGCTCTTGATGTGAAGAGGGTGAGATGTATTCAATGATGTTGACCTACCGCATTTCTCTTCCTGTTTGCCGCCTCCTTTGCATCGTCCTGCTGTTTGCGAGAGTCATCGGCCTTGGTTATGCCTTGCCAGATTTCATTTTTCA